GCTGCCCCCCGGTCCCCGGTGGGTGTCGGTGGCCCCCCAGCACCGGGGGGGGGGGCTTTCCCGCAGGGTCCCCCGGAGCGGGACCCCCCTCACAGACCTTTAACCACCAGAATGAGCCCGATCCCACAAATCTGATTTGGGAGAAATGAGAAAACTAACCCAAAAAGACAGCGGGGCTGCAGAAAGGGCTGAGTTTCTTCCCGTCGGTCATTAGTTTGGCAGGAGCTCAGCCCGGCGGTGGCGGGGGAGGAACACGTGGCAGTCCCTGTTTCGGGCAGGGATACGGGTCCTTTGTGGGAAAAATACGGACTTTGCTCCTGCAAGAAGGAGCCTCGTTAGATGCCGGTGGCCGGAGCGGGTCCTGCGGCCCCAGGAGGGCTGGGGGGGAACCGTGACCAGCCCCCCCGCCCCCCCAGTGCTGGCTGCACGCGGGCGGCTGCGGGATAAACGGCGTGAAAAAGAGGAAAATGGGGTTTTAGTTGCAAAACCTCTTCAGTGCAGCAATCCCACCGCTCACCTGACGCTGTAGCTCACAACGCAGGAAAAGATTGTTTTTATCTTGAGATAGAAATGAATTCCATAAAAAAAAAAAAAACAAAACAACAAAAAAAAACCAACCCCAAACGAAATAATGAACCCCATGGTTACGATACGATTTATTGAATGGTTGGTGTCGGGGTGTGCAGGCTGCAGGCAGAAGGCTTCGTGTTCGCAGCTCCGGAGCTCCCTGCTGGCACCCGGGCAGGAATTCTGCACTAAAGGGTTGTTCTGTTCCTGCTTTTTTCTCTTCTCCGGTTTTGGAGGCAGGACACCCCCTCTCCAGCCCCTGCCGGTGTGCTACGGCCCGGTGTGAACCCCCGCGCCATGGGAGACTCCCCCGGGGTGTCGGGAGAGGAGCTGGGGGGTCCCTGACGGGTGGTGACCCAGAGGGTTCCCCACGTGTCCCCGCGGAGTTTCTGTCGGTGCCAGCCCAGAGGTTCCCCTGCTCTGCCTTGCTCCGCTCACATCCTGCCAAGAATTACCTTTCCTTCCTCACTTCTCTTCACGCTTTCCTCTGCTTCAGGAGGTGCTTCTTAACCCAGCTGTGATCAACATCCTCCTCCTCCTCCTTCTCCAGCCCGATCATCCCCAAAGGCTCACGTGTGTCCCGCTCGGGCGCAGCTGCATCAGGTGCTGTTCCCAAACATCCCTGTATTTGCCACCAGCACCACTGTGTTTGTCTTGCAAGATTGTCATAGAATCATAGAATCACAGACTGGTTTGGGTTGGAAGGGACCTTAAAGCCCCCCCAGTGCCACCCCCTGCCCTGGGCAGGGACACCTCCCACCACACCAGGTTGCTCCAAGCCCCCTCCAACCTGCCCTTCAACCCCTCCAGGGATGGGGCAGCCACAGCTTCTCTGGGCAACCTGGGCCAGGCTCTCACCACCCTCACACCAAACAAGTTCTTCCCCACATCTCAGCTCAATCTCCCCTCTTTCAGTGTCAAACCCTTCCCCCTCGTCCTATGGCTCCCCTCCCTGATCCAGAGTCCCTCCCCATCTCTCCTGGAGCCCTTTGAGGGACTGGAAGGGGCTCCAAGGTCTCCCTGGAGCCTTTTCTTCTCCAGGCTGAACCCACCAACTCCCTCAGCCCCCCCTCCCAGCAGAGGGGCTCCAGCCCTCCCAGCATCTCCAGGGCCTCCTCTGGCCCCGCTCCAACAGCTCCATGTATTGTCCTTCAGGTTTTTTTGTTTGCTCGTGTTTGCATGTAGTATCTACATTAATACTGGGCACATCTCAGACCGCAGCAAACAAGATCATGTCCCACACTATTTTTCCAAACCCAGGTTTTCTGGAGGCACAGTGTGGAGGTACCTCCCTACGATCTGCTCAAGCCACCCAAGTGCTGTGGGTTTCTGATGGGGGCTCAAGAGGTCCCACATGGACACCTGCCCTGGGCCTTGTCACACTGGGAGTTTGCAAACGCTTTCCTGGGCCCCGTACATCCCCTCAGCACTTGGTAGCACGCCGCTTCTTGTGGCTTTTCCTCACACTTCTGCTCTCTGTTGGGAAAGACCAGCACTGGCACAAACTCCACACAATTAATCCCCATTCTCTTCACGTGGCTTTGGCGCAAGTGTAGGGAAATAAAGGGAAGGTAGAGCTGAAGGGACACCAGGGTGACAGGACACAACTGATCCTGCTGAGGCATCTCTGCTGAAGATGGGACCCCAAGTGGGTTTGCCACCCCGTGTATTGTGGCTGGCACAGGGCATCTGGGGCCTCAATCTGTCCCATCACTTTGTGTTTGTAGAGCCCCTCCATGAGCAGCCCCTCATTTTGGTTTGGAATCCGAAGCTTTACTGCAAAACAAATGATACCTACTATGAGGTGTCACTATCAGACACTGGAACAGGCTGCCCAGGGTGGTGGTTGAGTCGCCATCCCTGAAGGTGTTGGAAGAGTCATTTAGATGTGGTGTTGGGGGATATGGTGTAGGGGAGAACTTTGTAGAGTGGGGTTGATGGTTGGACTCGATGATCTCAAGGGTCTTTTCCAATTGAATGATTCTATGATTCTAAAGGAAGGTCACTTGCAGAGTGACACCACGAAGAAGGAGGGCTGTGGAGAGCAGGCAGAGTTTGACCTGGCTGAGTGTCCACAAGCAGAACAGAGAAACCCATTTGAGATTATGACAATCAAAATGGTGTTTGTATTTACACACATTTTCACACGACGGTATACTCGAAAGATATTTTTACGGAAAAAAGTAGCAGGGTTGTGAGTGGCTCCAGATTTTTCCAAACTCAAACATTATACAGTGACTTGAACAAAATAATATCTCCCCCAACATGGGTACGATCCGAGGAAGAAGGGAGAAGTCACCGTCACTCCTGATGTGGGATGTTAAGCTGTGGGCGTGGGGAGCAGAGCGGTGGGCGACTGGCTGCAGAGGAGACAGAGGGGGGTACCTGGGAGCCGCCCCCTCCTTGGCCCCGTGGAGGGGGGAGAGGTTAGGGCTGTGGGGGGGGAACCCCAGCCGTGCTGGGGACAGTCCTGGCGGTGGAGGGTCATGGTAACTGCTGTAACAGGGGATGTTGCAGGGCAGCAGGGGCAGCTCTGGGAGGACAGTCTGCACCAGACAGTGCTGTGGCCACTGGGTTCCGCTGCTCGAGGGCTCCTCCACAGCTCCTCTGCCCCCCCGGTGGATGGGTTTCTTTCTAAGGCAGTGCCCTGCCTCCCCGAAACCAGCTCTGCTGCTCCGAGCTCTTCTTTCCCCAGCCAGCGAGCAGACGTCGATCCCTGGAGTATGGAAGAGCTTTCCAAAACTGCTGTGATGACAACGTCTGGGTGCTACGGGAGCTTTTCCTGCTCCACCTGATTCTTTGCAAACTTTACAAAATCTTCAGTGGTTTTGGTATGTGCATGAAAGAGACATTGGCTTCACCTCATGGTGTTACCGAGGCCTGGCTCCCCTTTCTCTCCAAGCAGCCTGTGTCCAGGACCAGCCTTGGAAGCCCATGGAGTGTGTGCAGTGGGTGGAAGGAGGCTCCGAGATGGTCCTGCCAGGAGGCACCCAGCAGCCGCCCAGAGGTCCCAGGTCCCTGCAGGCACCGACTGGCTGGTGCCAACCAGGCACTTTCAGACTTGCTGCCCCAGCTGAGGGTCGCCTTGGAGAGATGCTGGCAGAGACTCGTCATCACCCCTGGAGCTGGGGACCTGAACCTGCTGCTGCCCCAGCCCCGGTGGCAGTGGCTGCTCTCTGCCCTCACCCACCCCAGCAGCCCCTGTCCCTGGAGCGGGGCACGGAGTGGAGCTGCTGCCTGGGGTGTGGGAACCCCCGGGGTGCCCAGGGCCGCTGGTCTCACACCGTGCTGGGGGGCAGCAGGGGACCCCAGCCCTCCCTGTGCCGCACTGGCAGCGTGGCTCCAACCACCCCAACAACCCCCCAGCAACGGCCCCGTCCAGCCCGGAGGGGGCACAGCAGGCTCCAGCCCCTCTCAGGGTCCGGGCGCTGAACGGGACAGCAATGGGGACAAAATGGCACAGCTGAGGGGCTGGAGCATCCTTGTCCCCCCGGCTGAGGATGGCGGTGCTGGCTTCTGCCTCATGCCCTTGAGTGACCAGAGCTCGAGCGGGTGCAGAGCGGTACCTCCGGCGGGGGAAGCCCTGGCTGGTGGCTGTGCTGAGGAACGGCACCGAGCCCGGGGGAGAAACGCCCACAAACCGAGGCAACGCTTCACGCAGAGCCTGGCTCCAGCTTCCCCCAGGTACAAACCCGTGCACGTCAATGGGAGCAACGCAAACGTGGGCAGAGACAACCTGATTGCGTTCCAGATCGTAACAGTCACAGCTCCTTCAAGAGTGGAAGAAACTAAGGAAGATTTTTAGCCAGGGATAAAAATCCCTGTCTCTCTTGCATGATTTTTAAACATCACAGAAAAAAAGAAACCACTGCAGGATAATCTACACTTTCAAACAAACTTTTTTTTTTTTTTCTTTATTTTGTTTGGGTTTATTTTGTTCCTTTAAAATTTTTATTTATTGTGTTTCTTGGCCACTTTGTATTTTGTGTTCTGAGCTCCTCCCTGACGCTTCCATGTAAAAGTTTCAGGACAAATTCTGTTTCAGAGCTGTTAGACACGGGCCGTGGCTGGGCTGAAATCCCTGCAGTTACTCTGTACACACCCCTCCGGAGTACGGCCCTTCATTTCACAGCATCTTGTCTCACCTATAGAGAACGAAACATCGGGTATTTCTTGGTACCACCCATTAAATTCATCAGATCTCATTGCAACAGATGGACTCAAAGCATCAGAGACACTGGGCCAATTAGCAGATTAAAGGTTTCCGTATCAAATATATCTGTGCTATACTGATGCCGTTTTTAAAGAGAGAAATTGGGAAATAATTCAAAATATCTTTCCTTCTCTTAGCCATGACCTAGGGGCCTAAATCCCATCTCTGAATTATTTTAAATTTTCTCTTTTTTTTCCAACATAGGCCATGATCCAGCAGAGCACTTAAGAAACATGCTTTATTTTGAGGTTCTGGATAACTGCTGTGCAACTGTCCCTTGGGGTGTGTAAGTGCCCTTTTGACTCAAGACCAGAGTCTTCAGCTCCCAAATGAATACACGGTTTCCAGCCTCAGAAGTGAGTTGGTGAGTCCAGTTAATAAAGAGGGACTTTAACTTTCAAAGTGTTCTGTGATATTCCATGCAAAGTACCGAAACGACAATGACTCCACCGCCCGTTTTGTGCTCAGCAAACCTTCCTGCCTGAGGGACACACCGAGCTGTGTCCTTCCAGAAAGACCCAAATTTCCACCAGGGAGATTCCACGCACAAAACTGCATCCGTCCCTTCCCGGGAAACCTGACGAGCTCTGCTCCAAGACACGGAAAGTTTCATGAACGCTCTGACTTCGGGCAGTGACCAACTCCAGTGCTGATGACAGAAAAATAAATAAATAAGAGTTGATGTCCCTACGGTGAAGAAAATCCCTTCTTGCCCTTTGGGCAGTGTGGTGACAGAGAAGACAACTTCCCAACGACGACGTGGTATTTCCCCCATCTCTCAGCTGAGGCCACTGATGCATTTGGAACAGAAAACGCCACCCATGTTCCCATCTGCTGGGCACCTGCCGAGCTCTTCTCATGGGTGGCCACGCTTCAGCAGAGCATGAAAGCATCTCTGTCCTCCTTCCGCAGCCCAAGGTGCAAGGCTTGGCGTGAGATGCTCTGAGATCCTCAGCTGGCAGGTGGCCAGGATGATTAGTGTCCAGATTATGGGCCGCGGGGCCCTGACCGCCCCCAAAGGCCCCGCGCTCCCCGTGCCCAACGGCCGGGAGCGCTGGAAGGTGCGTCACGGCGTCCCGCAGGACGAAGGCTGGGGGTGACCGGTGTCACCATCAATGAAAGGCCAGGACAACCGTTAGCAGACACACGTATATAATATGTACAGTGGCCACAGATGCATTTGCACCGTGAAGGAAATAATCAAATTTTAGGCTGCAGAAAATGATCAAATTCCAGGATTTTTCGGTGGCAGGTGTCTGTCTAACTCACTGGTGAAAAGAGAAGGAAATGTTCAAACCCAGGTTGCATGAAGCAAGGCAGCACTCAGAGGTGGTGTTATTTCTTTGCTCTGTTTCAGACCAGAAATGCAGAAGTATTCTTGGATTTTGCATGACATGCTGTGGACAGAAAAACATCTCAGTAATGTTTGGGTTGTTTTGTACCTTTTCTCTCACTCTCTTCAGCTTTTCCAATAGAGCCACCAGTATCAAAATAGAGAGCTGAAGTGCAAGCGTGGGTTTAGGAGGCAGAAAATCCCAAACCTCTCTGTAGGGATTACACGACTCAGGCTTTCAGAGCAGCCAGGGATAAGGCAGTGTAAGGAAAGCTCTGAACCTCCCTAAACACTCTCCGTAGGGTTTTCAATCCGTGGTCTGTGAATTTTTACAAGCCTGTGGATTTTTCTAAGTCTGTGGAGTGCTGCTAATGTAGCTCCAAAAAGTATCTAAGAAAATTAAGCCCATTACCACTAAGCTTAAACTCACCACGGAGGAGGCTGAACCTCTGTAAGAAAACTAGTGGGGGGTCCACAAGTTGTTAGAAGGGGAAAACCATTGCTCTGGTTACAGAACTCAGCGAGTCTGCACAGCCACGGGATCCAAAATATTTACTCTCAAAATCCAAGGTCTGTAGAAACGGAACAGGCACCCCAGTAAAAACCAGCTGGGCCCATATGGGGAATGAAAGGACCCCCTGGTATTCCAGCTCCAGGCAGCTGCAGACACTGCATTAGGCTCCATTAATTACTGGTTTACACAAGAGGCGAAGAATGAACTTGGGGAAGACAGGGCGATGAAGATGACATCATCAGCTGGTTTTCCCTTCGCTAATGCTCCTGCTGGCCAAAATGAAGACGCTGGCTGGAATGGGGCTTTTGAAGAGACTGACGTTATTAGCAAGACTCTGCCAAAAGGAGAGTGTGCTCCCCGTGTTCCTGTCACGAGGGCTGGGCTGCTCGCAATCCAAATCATTTAAAAATAAAAAATAATAATTGAAAAAAAACCCCAAAAAATCAGAGCACTGGGTGTTGGTGCTGTAGCCCCCCTGGTGTGGGTCTGGGGCAGGGGGGATGTGGAACGGCTTCTCAGCAGCGTGTGTGTGGGGCTCCCGCCCCGGGAGGGAGAAGGGGCCGTTTCAGAACATGCACGTCACGGGGTGGTTTGTCTGCGCCGTGTCCCGGGAGGTGCTACAATATCGTGGCTCCAGCAGCATCCACGCTCCTGGGGTCCTTCAGGCCGATGATGAAACTGTTGGTTCTCCTGGCCCCATGAACGAGGGAGACCACTTTGACCTTCTCCACTTCATGGCCCCTGGCCACAAGAAATTCAATATCTTCTTCAGGAAACTCACCTGTAGGGATTTTAAAAGAGGAGTTTGTAGCTGAAACCACTGTTGCCTTTGATGCAAAGCTCTGTCCTAACCCCGCTGGGATCTCCAGGGGGAAGGAACCTGTGGGCAGCCCCTTGGCAAGAGCCCCACAGCCAAGAAGGACCAGCGCTGTGTGCGGTGGGGGAAATGAGAGGATCCAGAAGATCATTTAAAGGTGTGGAAGATCTTCCTCTTTGGGAAAAGGGGAAAATGTTTTGTTGGCACCTACTGTAGTTATTCTGCTTACAGACCAGCAGGCAGCCTGGCTCTCAAGGGTTTAGTTACAAATAATAGTAGTAACAGTTATTAGTCAAAACGAGATGCAAGGCAGCTCAGAACTAACACCAGTAAAACAAGTTGCCAAATGACAAACTTTGGGATAAGCCTTCCAACTTCCTCTTCATGTATTTCTTAATCTTCCAGCCATCTACCTTAGGTTGCCTGCTCTTCTGCTTTCGTTTTGTTTGTCTGGGGTTTTGTAATTTCTGTAGGAATGGAAGTGCCTGAGGACAGGAAGCCAGGGCTGCAGCCGGACAGACTGAGCAGGCGCACAGACCCCCCGGTTATTTCAGCTCTACACACTGCAGATACATTGCATGGGTCTTGTTGATACCAAATGTCCAAACCTACAAATTAGGACCTTTGGAAGCTTTGGGTTTGTTTTAATTACATTTTCGTTTCCAAGCCTGTGGGTCACATTTGACAGACATTTTTAGATTTTCCTCTAAAATGGGAAGGTCTAGAAACTTTGGCCATTTTGTGTGAAAGTAGAACCAAATTTCACTTCTGGTTCACTCTGGTAAGGTATGGGGCTTTGTGAAAAATACCAAATGGACCAAGCCTTGCAATACCAAGGACTAGAACTGGCAGTACGGTCTCCAGAGGGTCGCTATTGATGCTGCATTTCCAGCACTGTCGTGCCTCAGGCCTTGCCATAAGCCTGGTTCTCTCCCCAGATGGTGGAGTTAAAGGACATGGACTGGAAAGTGAAGGACTATCATTTATGGCAGTGGTAGTAAAGTGTAGGAAGATCTGCTGGCTCTTAGGACCTGTCTGGGTGAAGCTGTAGTTGCAATCTTGTTTATTTGATACCCTCAATGGTGTAATATCAGATCGCCGGAAGGTTTTAAGGATGGGATGAGGCAGCTACCGGGAGGTGAGCTGGGAGAGAGGGAGGGCTGGGGACAAGCACCTGAAAGAGTGTGGAGAGGTGGCCAGGGAACACTGCCAAGACAAGAGGGAGAGGGCATGGCTCAGCAAGGGCTCCAAGCTTTGAAGAAGCGAGGGTGCTACTTTTTGTCTTCCCCAAAACCCTCTGTGCTGGGCACCGCGCCCAGGGTCCATACTCACTGTCAACCTGCAAGGTGTTGGACTGAAGCTGTGGGTGAAGTCGACCAAGTGACAAACTTTCACTCAGATTCTTGTTGAATGTTAAAACGTTTACCAAAACCTGCAAGAGAATAAAAGATCGCCAATAATAATGAAAAAAAGTAATGAGAATAGAAGCCAACTTCATAGAATCATAGAATGGTTAGAATTGGAAGAGACCTTAAAGATCATCGAGTTTCAACCCCCCTAAACATCCCTCCATTCGGTGGCTCCAACATCTGCAGATGCAGCAGGCAAAGAACATTTCGAACTATTTACCAAACTGCATGAACTAACGCAGGGTTTCACACAGACAAAGGGGCCCTTGAAATATGGGCTGTATATTGTTTGTGGAAAAGCAGTACCTTTTCAGGATTTCATGGGCTTTTTGTCAAGTAGTTCCTGCTAAATTGGGAGAGCTGTGTGTCTGGAACATGAGGTCATCTCTAAATACATGTTTGTTACAGCCAAAAGCTCAGCACGTGACTTCTCCAAACAAAGCATTAGGAAGCAATGGTTGGCTTCAGTTTTGCTCTGAGTAATGCCTCCCAAAAGGTAAGGAAAATGGGAGCCACCTCCAGTTGTGCCTCTCTTTTTAGCGATCCATTGCTGCTGTGCACGGGATCAGACTACACGCAAGTACTTCACCTCATGACAAATCGTAAATTAGGAAGAGCTGCCCAATTTATAGCAAGTGCTGAGCAGGGAGGAATTCAGATGGGACACCACTAAAAGGAGCTTTTCATCAGGAGAAGAGCTAAAAGCCGCCAGCCTCCTGCAATTCTCGGGGTACAAAATCCGCATTTTTTTCCTAACAATCCTTAAGATGAGCTTTGAACAGGTATTAGAATGACACAAAACCATTACAGATTTTGCCAAAATGCTTTTCCTCTACAATTATGAGTGGTGCCACCCAGAAAGGTGCAAGAGAAGTAATCCTGTAGCTCTAAGGGATTTGAATCCAGTGGCCACCAGCTTCAACACACCCTGGGCTGAGAGGAATGGAGGGGCCCTGCTCAGCGCTGGGCTCGGCTGCTGCTCTGAGCTGTGCCCGGACACAGCACTGACCTGGACGATGCTGCTCAAGGCTCTGTCCCCGTTGTCAGCTCCCAGACACAGGTACGTCCCACACATCCCCTCGGAGGGTCTCACGATGGTGGGCAACAGGAAAGACAGGGGCCGTTTCCGAGGCTGAATGAGATTTTGCTGCAGTTGAAGAAAGGACACACCAAAGAGTTTCAACAAGGTGACTAAATCACAGAATCACAGAATAGTCAGGGTTGGAAGGGACCTCTGGAGATCATCCAGTCTACCCCTGCCCAGAGCAGAGTCACAAAGAACAGGTCCCACAGGAACGTGTCCAGGTGGGTTTGAATGTCTCCAGAGAAGGAGACTCCACCACCTCCCTGGGCAGCCTCTGCCAGGGCTCTGCTACACTCACAGGAGAGAAGTTCCTCCTCATGTTTAGGTTGAACTTCTTACATTCAAGCTGGTGCCCATTTCTTCTTGTCCTGTCACTGGGGACCACTGAAAAAAGACTGGCCCCATCCTCCTGACACCCACCCTTTAAGTATTTATAGGCATTGATCAGGTCCCCCCTCAGTCTGCTCTTCTCCAGACCCAAGTCCCTCAGCCTCTCCTTGTAAGAGAGATGCTCCAGGCCCCTCATCATCTTTGTGGCCCTCTGCTGTCCCCTCTCCAGCAGTTTCCTGTCCTTCTTGAACTGGGGAGCCTAGAACTGGACCCAGTGCTCCAGATGGGGCGTCAACAGTGCAGAGCAGAGGGGGAGGATGACCTCCTTCCACCTGCTGGCCATGCTTTTCTTGATGCCCCCCAGGATGCCATTGGCCTTCTTGCCCATTTGCTGGCTCATGGGCATCCTGTTGTCCGCCAGGACTCCCAGGTCTTTCTCCTCAGAGCTGCTCTCCAGCAGGTCAGCCCCCAACCTCTCCTGGTGCAGGGGGTTATTTCTCCCCAGGTGCAGCACCCTACACTTGTTCAATTTCATCAGAGAGGAACCTCTCTGCCCAGCTCTCCAGCCTGTCCAGGTCTCGTTGAATGACAGCACAGCCTTCTGGTGTGTCAGCCACCCCTCCCAGTTTGGTGTCATCAGTGAACGTGCTGAGGGTACATTCCATCCCGTCATCCAGGTCATTGATGAATATATTGAAGAGGACTGAGCCCAGTACTGACCCCTGGGGAACCCCACTTGTTACAGACCTCCAACTAGATTCCATGCCACCAGTCACAACTCTCTAAGCTGTATCTTTCAGCCAGTTTTCAATCCACCCCACTGTCCATTCATCTAACCCACACTTCCTAAGCTTATCTATGAGGATGCTGTGGGATACTGTGTCAAAAGCCTTGCTGAACTCAGGGTAGACAACATCTACTGCCCTCCCCTCACCTGTCCATCCAGACTAAAGACTAAAGCTTTGTTGGTGCTCAGGCTGTGCAGGTTAATGTCTCACTCTTTGTGCTTCAGCCAGCAATTGCACTTGAGTAGTTGTAGAAGGCTGACACCCTCCCTGCTGTGACAATGCTTGCTGGTGCTAACAGGTCATGTCCCGTTTCACGCCGTTGGCTCTCTCTTACAGAACATAGACAGAGCCATTCTAAAGTACCAGCTCAGCAAAGCAGGATGGTTTTACAGCACATGGCAAGAGGAAACAACAAGGCATCACTGGTAGCCACCAGTACTGGTCTGTAATTGTTTCTTTCCAAGACCTGAAGATATTTTTTTCTGCCGTCTGTTACTTTTAAACCTGCAGAGCAGCAACTCATAAAGAGAGTCCTTAACTCAATTCCACAGAAAAGGACAATTGCTTTAAAGCGCATCTGGACTGCAGGGAAAACAGGCAGCTGAGATGTGCAACGTTGTTTGATAAAACTGCATTGGTTTCCATTACTACATAATGGTACCGGATACGTGTGAAGCCTTTTCTTTACTCTGTTTCAGTGGCTCATATAATGGAAAGACAGGAGCTTTCTACAAGCTGTTGTCTCTCAGTTATTAATAAGGTGTTAAATAGCCTTCCTGTTGTGGAGATGAGAATAAAATTGAAGAAAAAAATGGTACAAACAGCTCAAATAAAGAATTTGTCATGTCATTCATTACCGGCCTGGGAATGGAGTGGTTCGTTGTTTTATTTTGCCAGGAGAAGTCCAACATCTGGCTGTTGAGGATGATTCCAGAGGGTGTTATTATGCCACTGCCAAAGGGACGATTCAAAGAACTGAAAAGAAACAAGAAGAAATCTCATAAAAATCCTCCCTGAGATTTCTGTACACCTCAAGGCTTTCAGGGCTCCAATTTTCTGTCCCATCTTGACTTGAGAGAGGCTCTTTGGTAATTCTCTAGAGCTGTTTAGATGTGAGGAGTGAGTCTGCCCGTACTTGGGAGCAGGAACCATGTGGATGGCAGCAGCTCTGTCCCTGTGTTGAGGACTCCCCTCATGCTGATGGACCTGGCTCCATGCCCCCATCAGCCCTCAAATTTGGCCATCATCATTTCTCCAGGGAGCAGGTTCAGGCCAATCCAGACATGTTTCATTGTGAGAGAGGGCTCTAGGATTGCACAGGGCAGAGCAACACCAGCTCACACATCTCCACCCCGTCTCTCCCACTTCTCCTGCATCAGGTCAGGTCCCATCCTGTCCCGCTGAACCTGCCGCCTTCTCCCTGCTCCCACCCTCTGAGTGCATTATGGAGGGAAGAAATCAATCCTTTACCTTACAACCGCAACAATGAAGTCATCAGGTCCCATGACAAGAACCTGGCTTGCAGCGGGTCCGCTCTCCACGGAGAAGTGAGGCAAGCGGAGATCAGAGGAGAAGGACTGGGAGTCGTTAATCAGCTGGCGCAGGGAATTAGCTTCTGATTTACTTCAGTGACGAGGGAGGGAAAGAGGAAAGAAAGCCATAAGCCTGGGGAGCCAAACATGGCTTGGTCTCTGGCAGAGGGTCCATCTACACGGCTACTGGCAGTGTCTCCCTGAGGGGACTGACAGGGAGCTCCTCCGGTTCACCCGATGGAAGGAGACAAGATGGCTCAGTCCCCACAGAAAGGCAATGCCATGGACCTCCCGGGCTCTGTCTACAGTGGTAAACTCAGCTCCAGTGGACAAGGGATGGCACTACCTGACTGAAGGTCAGTCCTCCAGGTAGAGGGCAAGTCAGGTCCAGCTCTGGCCACCAACCGTGACTAATCCTGGCTCTGAGGAGGGAGGCTGGGCTGAAACCCCAGGCCTGGCCTCTCCTGCCTCTCTGGGAGTACTGCAAAGCCCCATGGTGGGGAAGAGAGAGCCAGAAACTTGCACGTGTTGTCATGACCACATGGATGGCCACTTCTCCAACCTGCTGAGAAGGAATATTTAGAGGGATGAGAAAGTGGGAGAACCCTCAAGATCAAGCTGGTTCCAGGAAATGTGTGTGTGTGAGGACATCCCACAACCCATCCCCAGAGCCCCATGGCATCAGCTGTGGTCCTTGTGGCAGAGTGAGTCCTAGGAGGACACTCAAGGACTGACCTTTCCTCAGTAAAATAGAGGTAGAAAATCCTCAGCTTTCCCCTTGCACTCAAAAGAGCAAATCCAGGAATGATACCCAAAACCACACATCTGGCAACTGTCACTGTGACACCCTGTCACCTCAGACTTACCTCACCATGCCTTCTGCAGCGTGAGCGACGGACACATCATCAGATGGGTCTCCCAGGTTGCTAGCTAGACTCAGGGCTATTTTTAATGTCTAAATTGAACACACAAAGAAAGAAAGAAAAAAAAAAAAGGAAAGAAAAACATTTAGGTGGCCCTGGAAATACATACAACTTTTGATACTCCAAACAGGAAGATGTATCTGGTCTCCTGACTTGTTGGCTAAAGCCTTTGAAGAAAAATGTCCAACAGCCTGGTAGTGGGAATACCTCATTGCCAAGGGCTGCCACATGTGGGTATGGGGACCACAGGGCACCAGTTTAGCATGGCAAACTGTGTGCCGGGGGACCTGAGCGTATCCAGCAGTGTCTGTACGAGGTAGAACATGCCTGACCAGCTGGCTCAGCCCAGCTCAGTGGTCTGGCTCTGTCACCAGCTGGCACACAGGGTCACCAGGATGCCACCTACTTTCTGTTCCCATTCCCGAGTGGTCACCACAACAGCAGAGATCACACTGAACCCCAGTGGGACGGTGGACCCTGGGCTTGCAGCTGCCTCTGGAGGGCAGCTCCACTGGCACAGCACCACGGCTGAGGAGAAACAAGCTATTCTGCTCACCAGCTGCTACCCATGTTCCTAGATGTAAGTCATCCAAAGCATCTGAACAGAAAGCCTTAGTCCCAGCACACCTAAGGGAATGATGGTGTAAAAAGAGGAAGGGATCTGGTTTCTCATACATGCAGAATCCTGCCTAAGCCAATCCATTAAAAATGGGATAGGAAGATGCAATTTCAAAAGACAGAGTTTATCCAGTGCTGGTGTTACAGCGCGTAGCCAGAGGATAGCCCCAAGGAGAAATGTGCTCTTCAATCAAGCCAGCTTGTGCCTAGCAGAAACGCGCCAGACTTGCAGCTTGCAGGGTGTGCCACCGCCGTTCAGGATTCAAGACAGTGCATCACCCTGCAGGGACAGCTAGATGTGACTTCTGTTTCGATATGTGCCATGCATTCACAACTCCTCCTTAAGTGTCATCATTTATCTTCTGATGTACAGTGTAGAACATGGTTTAACTTCTGGAGAAGGCGGTGTTTTCATGAAACAGTCTCCTGACCACCATACCATGTGGGGGATGTACAAGAGGCTGGGTGGCCTCTGAAACTCTTGGCCTGGTGAAAATGCAGAGCAAACAGATTCATATAAATCTGTTTGCTCTGCATTCCTGAAGAGAGCTCCAAAATAACTTCGGTGAGTCAATCTTCTCTGCCTCTGCACAGGCCTGGCAGCGTGTGAGACCTCCAGTTGTTGCATTTTGGACAAGAGGCAATGACTTTCAAGCACCCACTGCCCTGTCTGCTACAAGTTGTTACTTCCTTGCTTAAAATTCCCAACTCATAAAACCCAGCTCTGGCTCTGTTAAGCATCTAAGAACAGAACTCTGCTTACAGAGCAGGAAATTGAGTACATGCTTGGCTTCCTGGGAAGCTGCAAAGTTTTGGTAGGGCTGACAGCCCTAAATACTGGAAAAAACAAGATCTAGACCACTGAGATCATGAAGTTGGCTAAAATGTAAAGATTTTAAAAAAATATATAAAGTCATATAAAATATAAGTCAGTTTTCCTCATCATCAACACGCACAGGTTTTTGCTGGCAGCACCACATCACCAACTCTCCCAGCAGTGCTCTGGTATGGCCAGGGCCACGGGGGCATAAGAGGTGGAGGAAATAGAGGGGACCACCCTCAGCTGCTGCAGGGTCATTCTGAAGAGATGCTCACATACAAGAAATGGGTAAAAGCCACAGTTTGCTGTTCTGAAAAAGCTCTGCCTGAGCAAGAAGCAGCTCAGCTGAGCAGGAGGCACAGCTCAGATTTATACCTTAGCAGCCTATTTGCTCATTCTCCTCTGGGAATTACCTACAGACATTTTTGTACAACCAAGGAATAAATAAATTCTTTTCTAGCAGCACAAGAAATTCAGACAAATGTTGAACCTCCACTTACCTCTGCCATCCAGTGCAAGGTATTCCCCCTGGATACTTGACTCGTGATGTTAAAGCCCTCGAGGATGTTCAGTGCTGTCATCAGCGCGGGGCCTGCATGGGGAGGTGGGGGGCTGAAAACGAGATGCCCTGAGAAGGGGAGAAGAGAGGAATGAAGCTGGTTTTGTCAGATGCTGTCCAGTTATAATGCTTTCCCACAAGCTAGTGTACTTGGGGACAGGGAAACCTTCCCAGATTTGAGGGGAAATAATGGAAAGCAACATGATTTGAAGAGGATTTCCCAAAACATTCCCATTGTGTCTTTCTGGGTTTTTATGATGGATGAAGGAAGCCCAAAAAGGGATGCTTTTTTTACATCTGAAATTCAGCTCTTGTTGGTTGGCTGGGTGGTTTCTGGACTGCAGCAAGGAAGAATGGAGATAAAATGGGTTTGCAACATTACAGCTCTAAGGAGAGTAAATATAGGGATTTCTAGAAAAGAATGACATTTTAGAAACCTTTGACATAAAGTAAGTTGTTATCCCTTGCAGATCAACTTTGGGAACTGTCTTCAGATGAAGGGGCTGGCCTATGGTCCAGCTCCTATGTAGACATTGCATCAGTAGGTGAACATGTTGCATCTTTACACTCTAACGCTATCAAAACACCATGTCACTGTCAAGGGAAAACCAGGCCCATTTCAAAGCACTGAAAACCCCCTGAACTGCCTGTGATGCAGGAGTGTCACAGAATCACAGAATGGTTTGGGCTGGAAGGGACTTTAAAGTCCATCCAGTGCCACCCCCTGCCCTGGGCAGGGACACCTCCCACCACACCAGGTGACTCCAAGCCCCCTCCAACCTGCCCTTGAACCCCTCCAGGGATGGGGCAGCCACAGCTTCTCTGGGCAACCTGGGCCAGGCTCTCACCACCCTCACACCAAACAAGTTCTTCCCCACATCTCAGCTCCATCTCCCCTCTTCCAGTGTCAAACCCTTCCCCCTCCTCCTAGGGCTCCCCTCCCTGATCCAGAGTCCCTCCCCAGCTTTCCTGTAAACCCCCTTCAGGTACCAGAAGGCCATTATAAGGTCTCCCCGGAGCCTTCCCTTCTCCAGGCTGAACCTCCCCAACTCTCTCACCCTGTCCTCCCAGCAGAGGTGCTCCATCCCTCTGATCATTTTCGTGGCCCTCCACTGGGCCCGTTCCAACAGCTCCATGTCCTTCCTGTGCTGAGGACTCCAGAGCTGGACACAACACTCCAGGTGGGGTCTCACCAGAGCGGAGCAGAGGGGTAGAATCCCCTCCCTGGCCCTGCTGCCACACTGCTTTTGGTCCAGCCCAGGATGGGGTTGGCTCTCTGGGCTGCCAGCGCGTACTGCCGGATCATGTTGAGCTTCTCATCCACCAACACCCCAAGTCCTTCTCCTCAGGGCTGCTCTCCAGCCATTCTCTGCCCAACCTGGATTTGTGCCTGGGATTGCCACAGCCCAGGTGCATGACGCTGCACTTGCCCTGGTTGAACTTCATCAGGTTCACAGGGCCTGACCTCTCCAGTCTGCCCAGGTCCCTCTGGATGGCATCCCTTCCCTCCAGCGTGTCGACCGTGCCACACAGCTTGGTGTCATTGGCAAACTGGCCAAGGGTGCCCTCGATGCCACTGTCTATCTCTCCAACAAAGATAAACAGCACTGTCCATAGCTAAACAGCATTGTCCACAGGCAATCACCAGAAACTCCCTGGAGGGCTTTTCTGCAGCTGCCTCAACACAGCTTTGACTTCAACTCTTGCTAAACACTGTCACCACCTCTTGCCAGGTGAAGCAAACTCGTAACTGGGGTTGCATGGCATGGGTCAGGCACTCACCTCGATAGACTGTGTGGACAGGATTCTCCACTGTGACGCTGTAATTGCTGAAGTCTTCCTCCACCAGGACTCCTCCGTAGCTGTGGACCTGTGTAGGAGAGCAGAGCAGCACACACTGAGATAGCTGGTCAAGGCTTGCTGTGTTCCTTGTGCTGGCCCAGGCGAACACACTCCACACTGTCAAAATGCCATTGAGATTTTCATGCCAAGTGCCAGGTTCCTCAGGATGCCCTGAAAATCTGTGCTTTGATGGCCTTGGTGGCCTGGCTCACCATACAGCACCACTGAAGGCTCTGCAGCTCACCTCCAGAAGCTCGCCCCCACCATGGGTGCTCTGAAGATGTTCTGCAAACCCGTGAGGATGGGGACTGGCACTGTCTCACAGCCTTCTTGTCCCTGGGTGGCAAGGATGACTGTGTTAAAAGTTATGAAGCATTTGAATACTGCCAGGATAAAAGATATAAATAGATGCAGAATAGAAGGCACCTGGATGTAGCAGGTTGCCATCACTAGAAATCTTCAGCATACAACTCCCACCCTATTGCTAATTATTTCAGGTGAGAGCTGGTCTGCTGTACCCTTGGTCTTTCTGTAAGGCTCTCCTAGAGGTACAATTAATTGGGCTTGGTCTTTTTCATGGACACAGCAAAGATGGGTAATTCCCTCCACTGCAGGTCTTCTGTGGCTGAGTCATGATGGAGATGAGGTAGGACCATCATATCTGCACACTGCTGACCTTAAAACCCCCTGAAGAAGGTAGTATTCCCACTCAGACTCAGGTGCTACCAGGCTCGTGGGCCAGCTCTTCCCTTCCACCCAGGAGAAGCCATACAACCTGGTGAGAGGTTCCACTGGGGTGAGTGGCAGCTATGAGTCCTCTGGATTTCCATCCAAAAATGGGCAAGAACAAATAACCTGTGCACACCCTGATTTCTAAACTAGCCAACTAATTGGCAAGAAAATTCCTTCTCTGCTGGAAATGGATGAATCACTGGAGCAGGAAAGCCAATACAGGGCACATTGCAAGGGGGCAGCATGTCAAACCACCCTAAAGCTGCAAAAGAAGATGTAGCCCCTACTTGGGATGCCCGTCCCCTTCCCAAAGCAGTCCCAGAGAAGAGGCCAGGCTGAACCCAAGAGCTGAGGCGAGTGGGAAGGTGCCCGTGCCAGGAGGTGACTCCCTGGAGCTGGGCCAACGGGAAGCCCGGGAGAAGCAGCGGGGAGCGGGGCAGGAGGAGCTGGATGGCACAGAAAGGGGAAAAGCCCTGCTCAGCCACACGCAGCTGCCACCATCTCAAATTCCCCACAGAGCACTTTTTCACACCCGTGCCTTCCCACCACAGGATGGACACAAAGGGCAGGGCGTTTTGGAGCTTTACTGGATTTCCCCACCTTGATGCCCTCCCTTTGCTGGAACAATAGACACTGTGGGAAACCAGCACTTTGCTCTGCAACCAAAGCTGGAATTGTGCACTCCATCCCAGAGCTTGCCAGGGTCTTGGGTGTTGCAACCCCAGGTCTTGCTCCTCCCCAGAGTTCGTGCTTCCCTGCAGCAGCCCTTAGGTCTGGGGTGACAAGGCAGGGTTTAGCTGTGGAGATGTTCCACAAGGTTGGGACTTTTCCCGTTCCTCATTCTCCAGCTCTGCTGTGGGCCAGGGGAAGGTTTCCAAGCCCACAATTCACAAATGCCTTAGGCTTGAGCTGAATGAGCCCATTCCAGATTAGTGACAACCCGTTGAAGACGCATCATTTGAACCATGGTGTAGCGAAAAATGGTGCAACCATTCACACCAACTGCAGCTACACAGATACAAAAGCTTGGGGTTTTTTTAACTAGAATAATTACTTTGTTTGTTGTTGCTATTTTTTCCAGAGTGCCTCTAACAACAGGAGTTAAACCCTACATGGGACCAAGCCTGGCTGATCCTCTGCTCACAAGCCTCACAGTTTTAGTTTTAAACCATCTTTCTGGAGTCTATATCTTACAGTTCCATTAGCAACAAAAATTTGCTTCTCAACAGTGGGGCCCCTCCCACTATGGGGAAAAAGGTGTTGTCACTAATCCTAACACAGCCCAGAGAGGGTCTTGAAATGGAGATTTTTTGCCTTCAAGAAAAACAGTCTGTCTTGGTTACAGAGGTTTCATTTCTGCAGGCTGTGGGAGTGACCTGTGTGTCCCCCTGCAGTGACAGGGACAGGAAAGAATAAGGAGGCTCCATGCATTTGTCCCCATCATCGCACTGACACTTGGCTATGGCTTATCTCCAGGTTGTCACCCTAAGCAGGTGACATGGTGGGTGGCACCTCCAGCTCAGGCTGTGCCGTGCGGTCTGGGGCAGACATCGGGAAGGACGTGGCTCACCTCGGAGATTATCTCCTGGGTCAGGTTTCCGCTGTAGAATGCTGACACCCCTTCTGCACCCACCAGCTCCAGGACGGCCGCAAGGTCCAGGCGCCTGACCAACATGCCAGGCAGCAAGGGCTCCCCGTCCGGCAGGAAGATCTCCCGAAATTTGTCAGAGTAGTTCAGGTCCTTCACCTCACTTACAGCTTTGGCTGTGGGTGAGAATCATAGAATCATACAATTGTCTGGGCTGAAAAGGACCTTTAAGATCATCGAGTTCAACCATCAGCCTAACTGATAAAAGCCATCACTAAACCATGTCTCCAAGCACTCAGGTCTGGGGTGACAAGGCAGGGTTTAGCTGTGGAGATGTTCCACAAGGTTGGGACTTTTCCCGTTCCTCATTCTCCACCTCTGCTGTGGGCCAGGGGAAGGTTTCCAAGCCCACAATTCACAAATGCCTTAGGCTTGAGCTGAATGAGCCCATTCCAGATTAGTGACAACCCGTTGAAGACGCATCATTTGAACCATGGTGTAGCGAAAAATGGTGCAACCATCCACACCAACTGCAGCTACACAGATACAAAAGCTTGGGGTTTTTTTAACTAGAATAATTACTTTGTTTGTTGTTGCTATTTTTTCCAGAGTGCCTCTAACAACAGGAGTTAAACCCTACATGGGACCAAGCCTGGCTGATCCTCTGCTCACAAGCCTCACAGTTTTAGTTTTAAACCATCTTTCTGGAGTCTATATCTTACAGTTCCATTAGCAACAAAAATTTGCTTCTCAACAGTGGGGCCCCTCCCACTATGGGGAAAAAGGTGTTGTCACTAATCCTAACACAGCCCAGAGAGGGTCTTGAAATGGAGATTTTTTGCCTTCAAGAAAAACAGTCTGTCTTGGTTACAGAGGTTTCATTTCTGCAGGCTGTGGGAGTGACCTGTGTGTCCCCCTGCAGTGACAGGGACAGGAAAGAATAAGGAGGCTCCATGCATTTGTCCCCATCATCGCACTGACACTTGGCTATGGCTTATCTCCAGGTTGTCACCCTAAGCAGGTGACATGGTGGGTGGCACCTCCAGCTCAGGCTGTGCCGTGCGGTCTGGGGCAGACATCGGGAAGGACGTGGCTCACCTCGGAGATTATCTCCTGGGTCAGGTTTCCGCTGTAGAATGCTGACACCCCTTCTGCACCCACCAGCTCCAGGACGGCCGCAAGGTCCAGGCGCCTGACCAACATGCCAGGCAGCAAGGGCTCCCCGTCCGGCAGGAAGATCTCCCGAAATTTGTCAGAGTAGTTCAGGTCCTTCACCTCACTTACAGCTTTGGCTGTGGGTGAGAATCATAGAATCATACAATTGTCTGGGCTGAAAAGGACCTTTAAGATCATCGAGTTCAACCATCAGCCTAACTGATAAAAGCCATCACTAAACCATGTCTCCAAGCACTATGTCAACCCAGCTTTTAAATCCCTCCAGGGATGGTGCCTCAACCACTGCCCTGGGCAGCCCATTCCAAGGCTTAATAACCCTTTCCAGGTAAAAATTGTTCCTAATCTCCAATCTGAACCTCCCCTGGTGCAACTTAAGGCCACTCTCTCTTGTCCCATCGCCTGTTCCTTGGGAGAAGAGACCGACCCCCCCGGCTACATCCTCCTTTCAGGGAGTTGGAGAGAGGGAGAAGGTCTCCCCTCAGCCTCCTCTTCTCCAGGCTGAACACCCCCAGCTCCCTCAGCCTCTCCTCACAAGACTTGTGCTCCAGACCCCTCACCAGCTCCGTTGCCCTTCTCCGGACACACTCCAGCACCTCAATGTCTTTTTTTGTGGTGAGTTGTCCAAAACTGGACACAGCCCTTGAGATGGGGCCTCACCAGTGCCCAGTACAGGGGGACGATCACCTCCCAAGCCCTACTCCCCACACTGCTCCTGACACGGGCCAGGATGGTGTTGGCCTTCTTGGCCACCTGGGCACACTGATGGCTCGTGTTCAGCCGACAGTCAACCAACACCCCCAGGTCCTCCTCTGCCAGGCAGCTCCAGCCACTCTGCCCCAGCCTGGAGCGCTGCAGGGGGTTGGTGTGACCCAAGGGCAGGACCCCAAGAGAAGGTGAAGGACATCCAGAAAAGCCATGGTGCAGTAAGCCACCCAGAGTCACTGTGGCCCTGGTGGGGATGTTGGGGACTTGTTGCTGCCTCCTGTCCCATTTCAAAAGTAGAGAGGGGCTGGATTGTGCATCCGCTGAAGCTGGGAAGGAAACCCAAAGGAGCCCCAGTGCCCTTCCCTGGCTGGCCCTGGGCTGCTCTGACCTGTCTTCGACCAGCCCTGGGAAAGGGCTGCGGTGCTGCTGGCACCACCTCTCGACCCTTGCAGACCACAGCTCACACCTTGCTCAGCCCCCAGCACCATCCATCTCCAGGTCCAAGGAGCCCTAGTTTCCCATTAATAACCATCTACATCCTGGCCACCTCGTGCCCGAGCGCAGTGGCCAATGTGCTCCTCTGTGCTGAGCGGCCACCTGGGCTCCCCCCACCAGGTACTCACCCAAATCGTGGGTGACGTTAAACCCATCCTGGGCAACACTGGCCACGAGGCCCAGCAGCTTGGACCATGGGAGTCTGCCAAAGGAGAAAGGACAAGGAGAAATGTGTCCTGGAGGGGTGCAGTGGGGCAGGGTGGTGGGGAGCAAGCATGGGGCTCGGCTCTGTGGTCAGGGGGCTACTGAAAGACCAGGCTGTGGGGACAGTGGTGGCCAGAAGGAGCACTGAGCTTTCACTGAGTTGTCTCTTTTTAGAAGGACCATCTCAGTGCTCCACAACGTGCACCAAGGGAGGAATGTCAGTGCAGGGACAGGCGAAGGGGCATCTCTGGAGCAAAATCTGAAGCCAGGCCCCGGCCCTGAGCAAGTCATTCAGATCCCTCCAATAGGGCATTAAGGACAGCCAGACCTCTTGGGTCCAGCTGAAGTGAGAATGAAATTGCACAGACAGGCATGAAAATGTTCTGCACCTACTTCTAAGAGAACATTTACTTTCTCTTGTTAGCCAAAATTTTGCTTTGCAGAATGCCTGACCAAGCTGAATTCTTTCATTTGTTAAATGAAGTACCAAAAAATGAATGAATGAATTTTTCAACACGAGCTGCCAAGCACCCCTTAGCTAATGGTTTTGACTGGTGGCCAAAAGCATGGTCTGACAGTGAGGGGTTGTCTGCTCCCAGCTCCCCTGTGGGGACCCCAGGGCACAGCACGAGGACAGCCCACCCATGCCCGACTCCTGTCTTACCTCCCGTGTAACTGGTGCGCCTGGTGCATTCCTTTTATCATGCCTGGCACCCCCACGAGCAGCCCTGGCTGTGACATAGGAAGGACAAAAAGGATGAGTAGTCTCCTTCCCATGCGGACATGGGACATAGTCCCCAGTTGCAAGTCAAGGAGATGCAAGTTATGTTCACGTGGAAAGTGTCTGCATAGTCTTTAGGAGAGGAGGTCTGTAGCAACACACTAAATTAGGGAATAAAAGTTTTTGGAAGGAAAGAGGCAGATTCAGTCCTGGGCTCAACCTAGCTTGGTCAGGAGAAATATCTCAGCAGAACGACACAGGACTGTGCTCCTTCCTGGGACTCTTGTTCTCCCACTGCCCCCTCCCAGAGGCAAGTGCCTCCTTACTCCCTGAGCCCCGCAGGCTCCAGGTGTTTTGGGGCTGCCAAAGACGTATTTACCCCCAACTCCCCATGTCTGTAGGGACCAGGATCTCCTGTGGTGGGAGAGGCCTCCTGTCACTTCCTCGGGCATCTCTCCCTCGGCCCAAGAGTTGCGGGGAGAGGAGAGCTGGAGACATCAGGCAGCTACAGCCCTGGAGGGGTTGGCCATGGGACACTGGTCCTCACCTTGGTGTCCTTCTGCAGGTCTCCCTCCAGCGGGATGCCCAGGGGAGCCACCTCGCGGAAGTCGATCACCCAGCTCCGGTTCTTGCGGATGTCGTGGACCAGCATCACCCCACCCCTGCAGCGAGACGGGGGTCACAGCAGGGACTGGCTGTGCCTGCAACAGCCGCTGCCGTACAGCCAAAAGGAAGAGTTCAGGTGCCACTGGGGCCGGGGCCAGCTCCGCCATGACCAGGCCATGGTGGCAGGCCCAGCAGTGGCCCAGGGCTGGTCAGCAAAGGGGAATGCTGCTGCCCTTCCCCAGGGAGCAGCTCGGGGTGACCGATCCCGGGCCAGCGCAGGACGTAGGCATCCCTGATGCTGAGCCTGCAGCGAGGCCGGACCAACCCCTGCCAGCCCAGCCAGAGGGCCACTGGCTCTGTTCCACTGCTGGGCCGGGACTACCTGGGATTTTCTTTCTAATCCAAGTGGTTTTGCAACAAAACAGGGGTTTTGCTTACAGCAGCAACCGGAGGTGCAGCCCGGAGAAGCTATCAGGTGGCAGCGTTTTATGCAACACTGCCAAGACCTCCTGCAGAGCCAAGAGCACCAGGCTCACGTGTATGCCACTCTGGAGACAAGGGCTGGGGAGAAGCCACCCCTCATGGCCATGTCTCCCCTGGCTGCTGCCCAGAGCCTTGGACCTCAGCCTCCTGCTGCAGCAGGAGCAGAGTTTACGGAGCTGCATCTCTGAAAGTGTTGGGACTGAGCCCAGGGTGTCACAAGCTCCTGACACACTCACAGAGGGGCTCAGCATCCTGTGGTCACTTTTTCAACCCTCTTGAGCCTGAGGCTTGGACTTTCCCGGTGGCCACTACGGCAGATGCAGCTTTTCCTTCCCTGGGGGTCTCTGTCCCTCACTGTCAGCTCAGCATGAGGGTCCCCGTCCCTGGGCAGACGTGGACATGTCCACTGCCCGATGTCAGAGACCTGGTACCACGCACTGGGACTCGGGCTGCCATGAAGGCACATCTCAGCTGCCTGGGAAACAACTGAGGCTTGAGGACAATCACAGACAACAGCACGGGGGTGAACGATCGACACTTACCCACCAATCCCCGAGGTGTGGGGGTTGACAATTCCGGCGCAGAGGGCCGAGGCGATGGCCGCGTCCACCGAGGAGCCCTGCTTGTTGAGCACCTCGATGCCCAGGGCCGTGCAGCGGGCAGCGTCCGTGACCACGGCACCACGGTGGAAGATCTGCCAGAAGAGGAGAGCGGTTGTGCCCAGGGAGGGGTGGTGGGGCCACCCAGGTCCTCACCTGGCTCTATGGGACCTGAAGCCTGAGGCCACTGCCAAGGCTGTGGCTGATTTACATTTTCAGGTGCTTCCAAATTCAGATGGGAGTAATACGTGCCTTGGCACGGCCCCGCAGCTGTGGCCTCTCTGCAGGTAGCCATGGCCATCAGTGCAGCCAGATTTCACCAGGAGACATGCTAAAGTGGTGGGCCATGTCTCACCCTGTCCTCCACATCCCCAGAGCAGGGTCGAACTAATCCTCGAGGGTGATGGGTGACATTGTGCTGTCACCCCACTGCAGCAACACAGTTACTGCAAACAGGAATGCAGCTGCCAAGGACGCAGCATCCCCCCAGTATCACAGAATGCTATGGGGCTGGAAGGGGCCTCTGGAGATCACCCAGTCCAACCCCCTGCCAGAGCAGGTCCACCCAGAGCAGCTCCCACAGGAACGTGTCCAGGTGGGTTTGAATGTCTCCAGAGAAGGAGACTCCACCACCTCTCTGGGCAGCCTCTGCCAGGGCTCTGCCACCCTCACAGCAAAGAAGTTCCTCCTCATGTTTAGATGGAACTTCTTATGTTCCAGTTTGTGCCTGTTCCCTCTTGTCCTGTCCCTGGGCACCACTGAAAAAAGACTGGCCCCATCCTCCTGACACCCTCCCCTGAAGTATGTATAAGCATAGTGCCACAGCCTGCTCCCATCCTTCCCTGGGGCCAGCGCTCGTGCAGCCACAGGAAGTTTTAAAAGGTTCTTTTTAATCCTATGGTACAAAATGTCACACCTGAGCATGAGCAAGAGTAGCCCTGGGAACTGCGAGGACAACAGAGCCATGGCAGGACTGGCCCTTCCAGGGGGGCCCCAGAAGGGGCTGCCAGGCACATCCTCCCTCTGGTGCTGCACCCCAGCCAGCCAACGGCTCCACTCCTTACTGCTGCCTTTGGCACACCACAGAGAGCAATACACTAAAAAAATCCCAAATCTGTTGGACGCGGACTTGCAGACAGCTCTGCCCTGCTGGGTGGCATGTGGACAAGATGACCACCGGCCACCCCTTGGACCTTCTCAGGCTGCCCTGCTTGGTAGATGTTCTGCAGGAAGGCATGCCCCACGGCCACGCTGCCTTTGCTCTGCAACTGAGCACTGGGTCTGTGGAACAGAGCAGCTGTTTTCAGCTACTCCCCTGCCTTGTCCTGGATGGATCCTTCCAGAGATCAGCCTGGGCATACATATCCATAAAACTCTCTCCAAGTAGGATGCCTACTGCTTAAGTAAGGATTGCTTTCTGAAAGCACTCACTTCTGGCTCACACCACAGCTGGAGACACAGCAGCGGGGCTGCTCGCTTCCCCCCAGCAGCACCCCCAAACCTGCCAGGCCCAGCAGGGCAGCTGGGAGCCCAGCTCGTCTCTCCGAGCACAACCCCCAGCCGCAGGAAAAGGCTTCCAGGAGAATCTGAGGTGGAATCGCAGAGAGAGACTCGGCACCCAGGGTCCCACTGGCACCAGACAGGGCTCACGAGCACTTACCTGGCTGAACTGCTGGCGAAGGGGAAAGTTAGGGAGATTCTCCTATTCTTAGACCCAAACCCTGACAGCAAAACCACTGTTTCATCTTACCTGAGGGTCCCCAAAATAGATCTGCATGATGAGGGCCACCGTCACCCCCGTGGCGAAGGTCAGGCAGGCGGTGATGATGACGGTCAGCCCATCCTGCCGGCAGCTGCAGTCTCCAGAGAAAGGGTCCTTGCTGGTCTCCTGGAGAGGGGACACGTCCTGGCTGCCCATCTCTGAGGAGGACGAGGGCAGGCGCTGGAGACGTGCGGACTTCAGGAAGGAGTCTGGGTCTTTGTGGGCAGCAGGGAGAAAACAAGTGTTAGTTATTGAGCAACACGGGGCTCTTATTGCAGTGTTTACCCAGCGCTAACAATACACGGTGCCCCTTCCAGCAAGGATATTACCTTCCCTATTGATTCCAGCTCGCAAGACTTTCTGCCTCAGATGCTGCTCTGGGTCATTTTACTGATCCCTTCCCTCAGCTCTAGTTACTCCAACCTGACTTTCCTGGAGATTAAGAGGGGGAAAACCCCCTGAATTTTGCTCCATTTCAATCCATTCATCAGTCTTCAGAGATGGGCCCAGAGACACTGCTCTGTTTGGATGGGTTCTTAACACAGCAGTGACTTGCAAACAGGTCTCTGAAATGCAGCAGGACTGAAGAAGAGGAAGTTAAGATATAAAGAATTAAAATCAGCAGCCTTACTTAGAGCTATGCTCGAGCTAAAGCAGCAGAGCAAGAGAGAGGCGAAGCATAATGTGTGGCCTGGGCACAGGAAATTCTTCTACAGAAGCACGGCAAAGTGGGGGCAGAGAGGAGCAAACCTGCAAACCGGAGGGCCTCGGGGCGTCCACCCACTCTGATGGCAGGAAAGGCTCTGCTTTAATTTCTTGCTTCCTCTGGCGGACGAGGCCACTGCGAAATCAAGCCGTTCGCTGAACACCAAATGCAATGGGGCAGGGTTTCGCTGCGCGTCCGCCGGACACCACACAATGCTCAGCGGGATGAAAAAGTCTCTTTTTCTCTGACACGTGCCTTGAATCTCCACTCGCCTCAGCTGCTGCCTCTGCAGCGGGGAGGACACGGGCTGAGCGTGCACTGATGGGCACAGGGGGCTGCTGGTGCAGGTGTGGGGATGTGCCTGTCCCTGCCGGGCACCAAATGGGACCAAGAGGCTCAGGACATCATCCAGGGCTCCTGGATGAATATTTTCAGAGGCTGCTGAGAGCCAGAGGGGGCTGCAGTGCCCCACACATCCGTGGTGGGAAGAACCAAGTGGAAAAGACGAGAAGCTTGTCCCTCTGCTCAGGGACGTTTCCTGCATTTGGGGTAAGGGACAAGGGATCAAGCAGGAAACCCCCATAACCCCGCCATGCGCCTCCATCTGCTCTGGCAGGCTGCATCTCCCTGGGGACTGCCAGCCCTGCCCTTGCCATGACATTAAAAAAACCTCCTGGTGCAGCAGTCCTGGGGCCAGGCAGGGAGTTAGCTTTAATTTCAGTGACGCTGCAGCCAGGAGTAACCTCCCTGCAGCCAGGGAATCTCCTAATCTCATTCATGCTGTGGTGATTTAGGAGGGCGAGTGGGAAAGGCCCAGCTTTCCCAGCCTTTGCTTCTGAGCTCACAGACATCTCTGCCACAGGCATCCTGCATGGCCTTGGGCAAGTCACTTACTCTCTGTGACCACTGGGGCCACAGAGGGACAGCAGGGCCATGGTTTGGGAACAGGAGTGGCTGGAAGGGGTGTTGGAAGCAAAGAGGACAAAGAGCACCCTGCAAGGCCAACACGCAGGTGCCCGCCCACACCACCACCATCCACGCTCGAAAGGGAAGCCACCAAACCCTACTTGGCTTCTGTGGGAGCTGTGAAGGAGACGTGGCTTCACTGGGGAACCAGGGCCACCTCAGCTCTGGAGCTGCTGCAGAGGGGACAGCAGAGACTGGAACCACTCACAGGCTCCGTCAGGCGCTGCAGTGTGGGACCGTTCAGTCCTCTGGGGGTCCTGTCCCCAGCACAACAGGGGCTTCCTCCTTTTACTGAGATCTTCCAGGTGGTAGAAACCAGATGCCTGGGTTCCCTCCCTGCCGGTCCGTGGGAGGGATAACGTGCCATGGAGAAGTGCAGGTTTGCAACCGGCAGGCAGTGTCGGACGAGGGCAAGTTTCCCTGTGGCAGGAGAGCAGCAGCTCCCCAGCCACCCCAGGGCGGGCACCTGGGGATACGGAGACCCTGTGCCCGGGGACACCGAGACCCCACGCCCGGGGAGCTGCCAGCCCAGCCACAACCACACCGAGCCCTGCGAGACGGGGCCTCCTGCTTCGGGAAGAGCTTCCCCCCGACAGCGTGGGATGGGAGCGGATGGAAGGGGCACTTCACCCCGGGGTGACAGCAGGACGGGGCCGGGGACAAGGGGCGCGTGGGACCGGCTCCAACGTGGGCTTTGGGGTTCAGTGGGGCAGAGACCCACCCGCGGGCCGTGAAGCAGCCCCGGGAACAGAGGGACATGTCGCTTGGAGAAACATGATGCGGGGGAGGAAAAACTGTTTCTCCCAACTATTGAGAGGGAAGCAATCAATTAAAAACAGGCAAAGGGCTTTCTGGAGGATGACGGAACCACCTGCCTTTATTACAGCCGCACACCGGGATGGCCAGCCCCCGGGGCCTCTGGCTGGCTCCGTCCCCGCAAGGTACGCGGGGGGCAGGGAGGCGGCGGGGCCCGGCGAACCCCGCTC